ATCGGATATGAATTATTTCGTTCGGTTTGGGTTCGATTCGGATTATTTCGGGTTTTCGGTTATAGATCGGATCTTCATTTTTCGGGTCATTCCGGTTTCGGTTTCAGATATTTCGGTTCGGGTAATCGGTTCCGGTTCTGTTTTGCCAGGTCTAACGTTAATCAAGGCTAGTAATACCGTAAATTTGGAAAGAAAAACATTCTGTTTCTATAATAAAAAAATCCATTTAAAATTTTTAAATTTCCGTTTCAAGAGACGTTATACCATTACATATGGTAATTGTTTAGTTTACATGGTACGTAATAAAAGGCTATCAACTTCCGTGCCAATAATATTTTTATTAGGTAAAAGCTCAACCCAATTTTTTTCACACCAATAAAAGGGTATTAATACCGTAAATGTTGAAAAATATAAATAAAATGGAAATTTGTTTGGAAGGAAAAAAAATTCTGTTTCAAAAAAAAACATTAAACTTTTCGTTTAAAAATTTTCAATTTCTGTTTCAAGAAGTGTTACACCATTACACATGGTAATTGTGATGTTTACATGGTAAATAATAAAAGGCTATTAGTACATGCCAATCTAGACTATTAATACCATAAATTTGGAAAGACAAAAATTCTGTTTCAAAAATAATAAAAAAATCCCTTTAAATTTTTTAAATTTCTGTTTCAAGAGATGTTATGCCATTACATATGGTAATTGTTTAGTTTACATGGTAAGTAATAAAAGGCTAATAATTTCTGTTCCAATAATATTTTTTTACGTAAATGTTCAACCCAATTTTTTTTCACGCCAATAAAAGGATATTAATATCGGAAATGTTGAAAAATATAAATAGAATGGAAATTTGTTTGGAAAGAAAAAAATTATGTTTCAAAAAAAATATTAAAATTTACGTTTAAAAATTTTTAATTTCCGTTTGAAGAGATGTTATGCCATTACATATGGTAATTGTGATGTTTACATGGTAAGTAATAAAAGGCATTAATACACGCCAATCAAGGCTATTAATACCGTAAATTTGGAAAGAAAAAAATTTTGTTTCAAAAATAAAAAAATCCTTTTAAAATTTTTAAATTTCCATTTCAAGAGATGTTATGCCATTACATATGGTCATTGTTTAGTTTACATGGTAAGTAATAAAAAGCTATTAATTTCCGTTCCAATAATATTTTATTACGTAAATGTTCAACCCAATTTCTTTTCACGCCAATAAAAGGGTATTAATCCGGTAAATGTTGAAAAATAAAAATAGAATGGAAATTTGTTTGGAAAGAAAAAAAATTGTTTAAAAATTAAAAAAATTAAAATTTTTGTTCAAAATTTTTTTATTTCCGTTTCAAGAGATGTTATGCCATTACATATGGTAATTGTGATGTTTACATGGTATTAATAAAAGGCTATTAATACACGCCAATAAAGGCTAACGGTTCAAAAATAAAAATATAGTGGAAATTGGTTTTGAAAGAAAAACAAAAATCTGTTTCAAAAATATAAAAGCAAAAAGGTAAGAATTACATATTCTTACCATTTAAATATACTTACCTTTTCAAAAATTTCTTGAAAACAAAAAACTTTCCGTTTCCAAAATAAAAAAATTTGTTTAAAAAATAAACTCTTACTACTATAATTAGCCTTTTAAAATTATATACTATAAATACGGTTCTTTCCAGACCCTTCGTAGTAAGATAATTCAACGTGTGTTTTTATTCAGTACTTCAACATCACCTTTTCTACGAGGATGGGGATCTTAACCGCATTAAAAAATGTTGATGAAAAGTCAGCGCTATTGATGATGAAACTTAGAGCGATAGGAGTTTATCATGTTCCTGCCCATTCTCAGGGGCGGAATCATTTGATGTTATTTTTCACGATTCAGAGGTTAGTAATTCATTATTTTATATTTTACATATAAATCTTTTTAAAAAACTTTGAATTTTATTATATGTAAACATTTTCCATTTGTTGTTAGGGCGATCGAATCCATGCTCAGATCAGATATTCTAATATACGCACATTCAAAGAAAATTTGCAAGAAAATGATGTTTATTTAGTGATGAGAGTCAAGGTATTGCGCAATTTTCAAAGCACAAAAACTACCAATCACCCTGTGCCACGCACGGGATCGAACAAATTTTTTGTTGATTTTGTAAATTATCTTCAATGTAATATTTTTAAATGAGTTTATAAAAAATATATGAAATATGTTATTTAACACTATATACAATATAATCAAAGTAAGACAAATAATTTAGCATTTATTATTTGGTAATGAAAATGCCTATATATAAATTCAAAAGTAAAATCCATATTTTTTGAAAGTCTTCGGGGGATACAATATTTTTAGTGTGCTTGCAAGATTATCATTAATATCATCCGATACAAGAATTTCATTCAAGTTTCAGAGAAGACAATTCTCTGTGGTTACTTTATACGCAATGACGATTAACAAGATGTAATAGAATATACATACAGTTTCAACTGTATGTATATTCTATTACATCTCATTTTTTAGTATTAAAAATGATCTTAATTTAATGACGTAAAAATGACCCGTGCAACGCACGGGTGTGATACTAGTTGGATTAAACAAAAACACACAATTTAGACTGATGCCCAACAAAATTCAAAATTGTCAAGAATTTTTTAAATAACTTTTAAAATTATAAAGATTAACTTTTTTGGGACTTCTAATAAAACAACTTTTTTGGATGTCGAGAAAGGAACCTTATCAATGCGCTACATACCTACATTTTCTTTATTTATTGATTTTTTTATATCTTATTATTTTGCATTTCCCTTTTCCAACCATATTTCGCAACGTTACCGTTCCTCCCAAATTTCCAACACACCTATTGTGAAAGGTAAGTTGAGAAAACATAATTTACAATTGAAATTCACTAACTTTACGAGAATAAAAAATATATCTAACTCTTTTTAGTTAGAGCCTGTTTTTTAGATCTTAAACTCTTAACTTCTAGTTTTTTCTGTTTTTTTATTCATTTTCTTCAAACTCTTTCTAATCACCAAACAATTATTCTAAAAATGATATATTTTTAATGCGATTATTATTATTATCATTATAATAATAATAATTAGTAGTAGTATTATCTTCATTATTACGGAGTATTATTTTTTTAATAGAAATCCTCCTTCAATATAATCAAAACCAATCAAAAGTTTAAACAAACAGGCAAACTTTACAAAACTACTGTCCTTTGCTATTCTTATACATCAAAAAACTATTTACAGTGAAAAAAAAGTTGTCTACAACCTCTTTAGGAGCAACATTTTTCCCTTTCGCCCTACATAAGCTTTCTTCCCGTTTGTATCAGGGTATCTCCAGATATTTTGATTCCATACCTGGTTTCAATAGCACAGTATATCCTCTTCGCAAACGGACAGAGGCAAAACAGGTGATCTATCCTTTCTGCATCCATATCACATATCCTACAAGTAATTTGAATATTCTTTCAAACTTGGATTCTGTCTTTAGTAAGAAGTCTATTTTGCATAGCTAGCCAAAGAATGAAACTGGCCTTGGGTGGGGTAAATTTGTTCCACACCCACTTAGACCATTCCACCTCCTGAGCTTCCTTACTTTGCCAATTATAGCCTTCTTTAATCCTATACTGTACTCTCCACCAAGTGACATGTGTTAAAAAAAATCACGCACCTTAATCATTTGCTTCCAGTGGTGACAGACATCTTCCTTTGGTGTGGTATTATTATTAACACTATTATGTTCATAACTATAGTTTATAAATTATTTCATTTTCTTTATTTTTTACATGTCACTAGTTTTACAACTCACACTCCTCTAAATTAATATGAGAAAAACATTTTTAAAATTTTTATTAAAAAATTTGAAAGTCAAATAAACATTTTAGAGAAAAATATTAAACTAATCTAGAGTAAAACATAAAAATGTACCAAATGTGAGTTTTATACTTTTATTTCGAAAGGAAGAGTTACAGTGCAAAGCAATCTCAATCATTAAAAAAATAGATTTGATCACCTGTGACATGTTTGATATTTATAATAAAATCTTGTAATATATAAAGTGTGATTACAAAAATATTTTTTATAATAAATACTGCATAAATAAATTAAGGTGCAATGTAACCACAATAGCTTTTCAAAATTTAACATTTTAATATTTATGCAAACTTTATATTCTAATTAATTGTTTTTATAAAATTTGATTTTTTGTATGAAATATGACAATACTTTTTATCTTAAAGACATTGATTAAGATAACGTGAGTTACGTGAGGAATATAATAATAACAATAAAAATAATTATAACAACAACAATTAGAATGAGAATAATAAAAAAATAAACTTAAATAAATTTCTTATAGTTCTTTTTTTAGATTTTCCAATTTTTTCTATTTTTTCCGGTTTTATCTAATTTCTTCCACTTCCTTCCATTTTTTTCCAGTTCAATTTTTTCTAGTGTTGGTCTTATGGGGACCATCGATCACCCTTAGGGATTCGCTACTGTGCTTGTCACGGTATCGGGTATTGACAGCCCAACCTGACGAGGTACATGAGTCGTGTATCTTGTGAAGCCCCTCCTGTCCATCCACCGCTCAGTAGTGGGGCTCCGCACTGCCGTAGTGAACAATAGGGGGTGCCCTATAGGAATCTACCTCGGCTTGGGGCTACAGAGAGATGTGGTTAAATACAAAGTGTCCACCTCCCTATCACCAATTGGTTTTAGGAAGCATTTGGCACCTCTTTAACTTCAAAACTCTGTAGTTAAGCGTGCTGGAACGGAAGTAGTCCCAGGATGGGTGACCCACTAGGAAGTTCCAGAGAAAACGATCCTACATTTAGTGTTCTTAGACACTTGACAAGAGAAATTATTTCTCTTGTTGTTCGAAGGAAGGGTTGTTTCCTTCGAAGGTTCGTTGAGGTTCGTGTGACTCGAACTCTCAAGTTGTACGGGTTTGTTAAGCACTGTTAAGCTTAACGAGATAGTAGTGTAGCTCGAGAGAGTCTCTCAGGAGGCTGGATTAGCCACAAGTTGTGGTGAACCAGGGTAAAATCGGTGTGCCTCTTACTCTTCTCTTTACTTCTCGTTTATTCATTTTTTATTCCTGCGATTTCTTGATCAAACGCTATTCACCCCCCCCCTCTAGCGTTGGTCTATTATTCTAACAATTGGTATCGGAGCCTAACTCGCGTCCAAACTTAACCGTTTGAGAGTAAAGCGATCATGGGTTCTTCTTCTAGAAATCTCTATGCAGGAATTGGAGAAGGTCAATCAACTTCTAGGCCACCACTCTTTGACAGCACCAACTATTCCTATTGGAAGGAACGGATGAGAATATATATCCGTTCCACCAACTTCCAATTATGGTTGGTCATCAAAAATGGAGAGGAAATCCCGATGAAGAAAGTTGACGACAAGTTGATCCCCAAGACCGAAGATGAGTTTGATGTCGAGGACATCAAGAAGATTCAGAATTATGCAAAGGCCATCAATATGCTATATTATGCGGTCAACCCCGATAACTACCGGAAAATCTCCTGCTGCACAACCGCCAAGGAGATGTGGGACAAGCTTGAAGTGACGTACGAAGGTACTGATCAAGTTCGTGAAGCCAAGATCGATTTTCTCGCTCAAGAATACGAAATGTTCCGAATGAAAGAAGGTGAGAAAATCGATGACATGTTCGACCGGTTCTCAAAGATCATCAACGACCTTCATGCTCTCAAAAAGACTTACGCCAACAAGGATCTCGTGAGGAAAATCCTGCGAAGTCTCACACCCGAATGGAGGTCAAAAGCCGATGCAATCTACGAGTCCATCGGAGTCTCCAATGTCACCATCGACGGGCTAAGAGGTAACCTCAAAACTTATGAATCTACTATTCTAACCCCGTCTTTGGATGAACAAAAGAAGAAAGGAATAGCGCTCAAAGCAACCAAGGAGATCGTAGAGGAGGTTTCAAGCGATGACGACAACGAATTTGGACTTGTCATCAAGAAGTTCCACAAGTTTATGAAGAAGGAATTTGAGCGGAAGGGAAGGAAGCACGACGGTCCTCTCAAGTGCTACAGCTGTGGCGAGATTGGCCACATCAAGCCAAGGTGTCCAAAAGCCAAACACGGCAAGGACAAGCCCGGCTTCAAGAAGCAAAGGGCTTACATCTCTTGGGGTGGCGATTCCGGAGACGAATCAACCGACCAAGAGGAGGACGAAGCTGCAAATCTCTGCCTCATGGCGCACGAAGATCAAAACGACGACGTCCAAGAGGTATGTACCATTTCTTCCGACTCCTATACTTTTGAAGAAATGCAAGAAGCACTTCATGAACTTTATGAGGAATTTGTTAGCGCTTCTAAAACAAATAAATCTTTGAAGAAATGTCTTTCCTCACTTGAAAACGATTTTGAAAAATTGGAAAAAGAAAATGAAATACTTAAACAAGAAAACAATTTTTTTTGGAAAAAGAAGCGCTGACAAACCAGAAAGCTCATCAAGTGAATGTGGGTCTTGTAAAACTTTAAAAGAGCAAGTCGCTAAACTTGAGAGCACGGTCAAGAAATTTAATACTCCTCACAAAGACTTAAATCTACTTCTTGACACTATGCATTTTTCTAAGGAAGGAATAGGTTTTGATAAAAATAAAGCTAAAGATAATGTTGAGCCACCACCTAGACAATCATCTAAGGTTCAACATAAGAAACCTAAAAATCAAGGTAATAGAAAACCTAGTCAACCTAAGGACACTAGACAACCTAGACTAAAACCTAGGAATGAAAATGGTCATGGTAGACAACCTAAGAAAAATGATTTTGTGCATAAAAATGAATTTTCTCAAATTAGAAGAAATAATACTAGAACACCTAGAAAAGGCCAGTTTCAAAATTTCCAAAAACCATCGTTTTCACAAAATAGGAACAAAATGGTTAAGCCTTCGAACTATTATGAACCTAGGCATATGTACAACCCCAATGTAGTTTGCCATTTATGTAATAAGATAGGCCATATTGCTCCCGTGTGCTACACTAGGTATAGGCACCTATCACAAAATCAAGCAGACTACCATCACACAGGATTGTGGGCTCCTGGGTTGCATTTAACCCATGGATTTTGAGTAACTACACAAAGTATCCACACGAACTTCCGTAGTTCACATGAAACCATGGAACTATCGCCTACGAGGTTCGTGTACTGGCCCCTACGTAGGTTCAAAGAGGTTTAGTTTGGGCGATTTCCTCCTTTGCATCAAAAACCTCTTAATAGCAAGGGAAGGATCATCGGCGTTGGTTCAGTAGGTAAATCTAAAAACTTCTCTATAGATAATGTCTTGCTTGTTAAAGGTCTTAAACACAATCTCTTGAGCATAAGTCAATTATGTGACAAGGGAAACCGTGTGACCTTCGATTCAAAATCATGCACAGTAGAACGCCTTAGTGACAATAAGGTCATTCTACGTGGTGATAGAATCGATAACATTTATATGGTTAACTTAGACAAATCTCCCTCCGGCTTTGCTAAGTGCCTCATGAGTAAAGAGGAAGGCACTTGGTTATGGCACCGAAGGGTAGCTCATATGAACCTGAACCTTTTGAACAAATTGGTTTCACAAGACTTAGTAATTGGCATTCCAAAACTTAAGTTTGAAAAAGACGCCATATGTGATGCATGTCAAAAAGGGAAGCAAGTTCGGGCTTCGTTTAAGTCTAAGAACGTTGTTTCAACTTCTAGACCGCTTCAACTTTTGCACATCGATCTTTTTGGTCCTTCTAGAACGAAAAGTTTTGGTGGCAATTACTTTGCGTTTGTGATTGTCGATGACTACTCTAGGTTTACATGGACCTTGTTTCTAACTCATAAAAGTGAGGCATTTCACGTTTTCAAAAATTTTCTAAAGAAAGTTCAAAATGAAAAAGACACAACCATAGTAGCCATAAGAAGCGACCATGGGGGAGAGTTCGAACGAAATCTGTTTTCAGATTTGTGTGACGAACTTGGCATTGATCATAACTTCTCAGCCACACGTACACCACAACAAAATGGAGTGGTGGAACGTAAAAATAGATGTCTCGAAGAGATGGCCAGAACTATGATCAATGAGGCAAAAATTCCTAAGTATTTTTGGGCGGATGCCGTGAGTACCGTGAGCTACGTGATAAACCGAGCCGTCATTCGACCGATACTCATGAAAACGCCCTATGAATTATACAAAGGAAGAAAGCCAAACCTTTCCCATCTTCGAGTCTTTGGTTGCAAATGTTTTATTCATAATAACGGCAAAGATAACTTGGGAAAATTTGATGCCAAGTCGGACGAAGGGATTTTTCTTGGTTATTCTCTACGTAGCAAGGCCTATAGAGTTTTTAATAAATGCACTTTGACTATTGAGGAATCCCCTCATGTTGTATTTTCCGAAGATAATGCTCGCTTGGCGAGAAAGGCTATTTGTGATGATCTTGTAGATTCACTCGAAAGATTACACGTTGAAGACGATGAAGAAGACACGCCATTATACACCAACCCGCAACCACAACCTGAGGAAACACCTCAAGTGATGGTCGAAAATGAGGACCAAGCGGACAAAGAAGAACAAGAGGAAGCCCATGAACAAGAGGAAACCGAGCTTCCCATCGCTTGGAGAACGCACAAGAACCATCCACTTGACCAGGTAATCGGCAGCATCAACCGCGGGGTAAGTACTCGTAATTCTCTTAGGGACACCGTAGGTCACATGGCTTTTGTTTCTCAAATTGAACCTACAACCATTTCCGAAGCAATAAACGATGAACATTAGACCTTGGCTATGCAAGACAAGCTAAACCAATTCAAACGGAATGACGTTTGGGAATTGGTGCCAAGGCCCGATGATCGTACGATTATTGGTACGAAATGGGTGTTTCGTAACAAATTTGATGAAAATGGAATAATCACTAGAAACAAATCTAGGCTCGTAGCTAAAGGCTACAATCAAGAAGAAGGCATTGATTTTGAAGAAACCTATGCACCCGTAGCACGTTTAGAAGCTATTCGTTTACTTCTTGCTTTTGCTTCGTCTATGGATTTTAAACTTTATCAAATGGATGTTAAGAGCGCCTTCCTCAATGGTTTTATTCAAGAGGAAGTGTATGTTGACCAGCCCCCGGGGTTCGAAGACTTTGAGTTTCCCGATCATGTCTTCAAACTCAAGAAAGCGCTCTACGGTCTTAAACAAGGACCTCGTGCTTGGTACGAACGTTTGAGTAAATTTCTTTTGGATAGTGGTTTCCAAAGGGGAAAGGTAGACACCACACTTTTTATCAAGAGTAAAAACAATAACATCCTTTTGGTTCAAGTTTATGTAGACGATATTATATTCGGTGCTACTAATGAGTCTTTGTGCAAGGAATTCTCATCGCTAATGACTAGCGAATTTGAAATGTCAATGATGGGCGAGCTCACATTCTTTTTGGGACTCCAAGTCAAGCAAATGAAAGATGGCACGTTCATTTGCCAAGCTATGTATTGCAAGGAGCTCCTAAAACGATTTGAAATGGACAACGCCAAAGCCATGGCGACCCCAATGAGCACGTCTGACCATCTTGACAAAGACGAGAAAGGTAAGGAAGTAGATGTCAAAAAGTATCGAGGTATGATCGGATCCCTTCTCTATCTTACCGCTAGTAGGCCGGATATCATGTTTAGCGTATGCCTTTGCGCAAGGTATCAATCGTGTCCGAAGGAATCACACTTAATGGCGGTAAAACGGATCATGAAATACCTTGCCGGCACGGTTAACGTTGGACTGTGGTATCCAAAAGGCTCTTCTTGTCATCTCGTTGGCTATTCTGACTCGGACTTTTCCGGTTGCAAATTGGACCGTAAAAGTACAAGTAGGACTTGCCACTTACTTGGTAGCTCTTTAGTTTCATGGTTTAGCAAGAAACAAGTCAGTGTTGCGTTATCCACAACCGAAGCGGAATAAGTAGCCGCCGGTAGATGTTGTGCTCAAATCCTTTGGATGAAGCAACAACTCGTGGACTATGGCCTTAATATCAATCACGTCCCTCTTCGTTGTGATAATACCAGTGCCATAAGCTTGACGAAGAACCCCGTTCTTCACTCAAGGACGAAACACATTGACATTAGGCATCATTTCATTAGAGATCATGTTCTCAAAGGTGATGTCGAAATTGAGTTTGTTGAAACACACAACCAATTAGCCGGCATTTTCACAAAACCTTTAGAGAAAGAGTCGTTCTTCCGCATTCGAAGTGAACTCGGAATCCTTGACTCCACGATGATCTAAGTTGTGCATCTAAACTTATTAAACGTTTACTAACTTGAGCGTCGGAGAACTTTTTCTTTTTTTTTGCAGGTACCCCGTTCATGAAATCAGGGGGAACCATGCAAACAGCGCTGTCCAGGAGACCCAACAGCGTTATTGAGAGAAACAACGTCAACCAAAAAGTTTGCCAACAGCGCTGTACACGAGGCCAACAGTGCTGTCCCAGGAAGTTCCTTTTCCCTTATACCTTGTTTTCAAACAAAACCAGAATGTTTTCCAACAGCGCTGTCCACCTTTGCAACAGCGCTGTCCACTTTTACAAATTTTTCCTCTATCGTAAAACAGCGATGTAGAGAAACCCAACAGCGCTGTTCTAATGGGTTCAAACCCTTACACAATTCTAGAAACTTTTGGAACATCGCTGTAGGGTACTCAACATCATTGTCCTTTTGACTCCTGTTTTTTTAAAACTTGACGCAGAACAGCGCTGTACAAGGCACAACAGTGCTGTCCCAACAGCGATGTCGCCTGTTGAACAGCGCTGTTCAGTCAAAATTTTCAAAAAAAATACCCGTTGGCATGGGCATTAATTACTCCAACAACCATTTTTTTGAATTTTGAACGTTGGAACTCTCTTCTCCTATATATTAGAGCCTCCTCTCCTCACTTCTCCCCACACAAACACAAATCTCTTCATTCCCTTGCATATTTTTGTCTTCTCCAATCTTTTTTTTGAATTCTTCAACATGGGCAAAGATAAGAACAGGGCAGGAGCTTCCAGCAAATCCAAAGCCAAATCCCGGGCACCGGCAACCAACTCCGAGGAGCGCCTCTACTATGGCGACAGATCGTACCTCTGGTTCGATTCCGAGGAGGAGCACACCCGCTTTCTCACTTTCTTCTCTAAACGGGTTGTGGCTCCCCCACGGATCATCCCGGAGCGCTACCCCGAGCTGCAGGGCTACGATGACCTCGACGCGTAGCTTCATCAAGTCGGCCTTTGGCCATTCGTCTCCCAGGCTCGGAAGGAGATCAACCCGGCGCTGATTCGGGTCTTCTACTCCAACCTCCAGCGTGAGGGCGACGTGCTCTACTCTCTTGTCAAGAGCACGCCGATAGAGCTTTCCGTTGAGCAGCTTGGGCGCATCGCTGGCCTCTCCTACCAAGGCGACGACGTCTCCCACTATGGCGGAGAGGACTGGGTGCTCAACAACGAGGGCCTTATCCTCAACGAGCTTGGCATCACCGAGCTCATCCGCCATGCCTCGGGCTGCCCCACCATCCACTCCGCTAACCCCGAAGGCTGTCTCGTTCTCTACATCGTGTCCCGGATCATCAAACCCCGGAAGCACGGCCACACAATCATGTCCGGTGAGGACCTCAAGCTCATCCATGCGATCATGCACTCAGCCCCAATCAATTGGGCAAAGTTTGTCATGATCAACATGACGATTGCCGCGTCCACCGACCACGATCACCTCCTCCCGTACCCGTTCGTGGTGATGGTCATCCTTGAACGGTTCAAGGTGACCACCACCGTTGGCCCACTCACGAAGGCCACGAAGATTTGGGCGATCAGCACCCAAACCTTCAAGAAGCGGTCGGACAACGCCGGACCTGCCACTGCCGCGCCACGGCGCCGTTCTACTGCTGGTCCAGCCGAACCCAAGGCCCGGGCCAACCTTGCCTCCATCGCCGACTCCCTCAATCGGCTTCACTTCAAAGTTGACGGGATGGATGGCTACCTTGAGCGGCTCGACGAGGCTGTTCAACGCCAAGGGCACGCCATGAACGCATACTTCCATCGCGTCAACTACGCCCCCCCACCGTACCAAGGCATGTTCCTTGGGCAAGTGTACGGTGACGAGGATGAAGAGGATGGCTCCTACGCCCCGTCAAACTCCCCGGACAAGGACGAGTTCGATGACGCCGTTGACGGCGATGAGATGGACGTCGACGACGAGGAGGAGGAAACCGAAGACGAAGACTAGGCCACACCTAGAATTTTTATCTCTTCTTTCTTCAATTGTCTTGCTTTTTATTATTATTACTTCCGTTGTACTCCGCCTTTTCCCTTTAATAAATAAAATTATCTTTTATCTTTTTGTTAATGTCAAAAGGGGGAAGAAAAGGGCTATGCATATACTAAGGGGGAATGCCTCTAAAACCGAGACCTTTTGATTTTAATCCGACTAATTTCTTTTAAGCACAAATTAAGGGGGAACTTTTTCACAACTTTTTGAAAATCAAATATCCCTTAGCATGCATATCCCTGTCTTGTTTGCCATTATCAAAAAGGGGGAAATTGTTGGAACACGGGTTTACGTCTACGTCATACTAAACCGTGTTCGTTTTATGACAGGTTTTGATAATGCCAAACCGCCGTGACATAACAAGGTTAAAGTGAGCAAAACCAAGGCGAAAGAACATGGCATGATGATTTGAGAACCAAGAACCTAGAACGAAGACTTAGAACTGTATTGAGTCGGTCTTAATGTGATCAAGACCGGCACAAACTTTCAAACCTTGGCTCTCTAGGCTCTGTTCATCAAAATGTTTTTTGCATATTCAAAAATGTTTTTCTTAAGTTTTAAACATTTCTAAAAACACTTGGAGTTCGCCTAAACCAAAAACCAAGTCATCCCGTGTTCGGCTTTCAGAAACCGGCTTTCGGTTTTCGGCATTGGTTTTTGGCATCCGAACCAACCAAGTGGTTTTGAACCTTTTATGATTGGTTTTTACTTCTGGGCATATTTAAATAGTTCTCCAACAAAAACCCTTCAAAAACCACCTTCCGTTTTTTGTCGTTTAGTGAAAACCATGCAAAACGACACAAACTTGGTTAGTCGTGGTTTTCAACTAAATGACGTGGTTTTTGAGTTGTTTTACTTGATTTCTTAGCAAAATGCAATAAACAAATGTTTTCAACACTTGGTTTTTATTTTGGAGAACTTACGTTTTTGACATCGGTCTGGAAGAACAAATTAGAGAGTTGATTTGGTTGCAATAATAATTCGATCTGGTCTGATTTGATTGGATCTGATCTGATTGGATCTGGTCTGGTGTGATTGGATCTGATCTGATTGAGTTTGATCTGATATGATTGAATCTGATCAGATCTAATTAGGTCTGATCTGATTTTAATAAAAATAAGTAATAAGTAGAAAAAATAAGTCCTCAGAACGGACCCTTACTAGATCTCTATATTTTATTCAAAAGTGTTCCCTAGATCCCTCTATTTTTCAAAAAATGGAAGAGGGTTATAATATCATTCTTTAAATAATCAGAGCTAGTAAGTGAAGAGTATTGGACGATATGTCGGAGTAAGTGAAAAAATATACAGAGCTAGTAAGTGAAGAGTATTGGACGATATGTCGGAGTTTTGGCCGAAAAAATAATCAGATGGGCTATACCTCTGCACCAATCAAAAAGTATAGGGACCTGACAAGTATTTAAATTAATTTAGAGACCTTAGAAATATTTTTGAAAAAATATAGATACCTAGTAAAACCTTTTCCTTATTAATATGCAATACAAATTAAATATAACTAACGCTCAAAGTTATGTAATTTAATTTAAAAAGGTAAATTGAACAAATACATTAGAAGGAAGGCAGTGTATAAGCAACAAATTATACTGAAATGTACAGACCTGAGACACTATCAAAACTCACTTTTATTTAAACAATCACTTTTATATCTCACACAAGTAAAACTATAAAAAAGAATTTCTAAAAACACTCCATTATGCTGCCTAGTTTTAATCGAATAAATTTAAACCAAAATTTAAAATTAAAATTTTTGTTTTGATAAAAGTTAACCATTGGATATGAATAGCTAATCCACACCGGCACACCAAACTACGATTATTTGTTTAGAGAAATGGGTTTGCTAATTAAACAAAACAAATCTAAACATCTCATGATAACTTGATGAATACGGAGTAATTAACAAATTAAATTTCCTTCACAAAAATATAATTGCAATAATTCTCATTGATGAGATGACAAAAAGTTATCAAAATTCCAATTAGATGAAAATACGAGTACTTTTTTTATACTTCCTACACCTAAAATAAAAAAAAATCAACACTAATTAGTCAGGGAGAAAAATATTTAAACCTAAAAGATCCTCTTAAAAGAAATAAACACTCTATTTGCGTGGTGAAAAAGACAAATTTGTTTCCCACAAAAACTGGAGCGGGCCGCCGATCTTCAAAGGTATGTGATACAGCACAAGAGAGAGCCAAACTCTAATAGCTAGCTATTAAGGTTGGAGAACCCTTGGCTATATAAATCCACCATTTGACCGGTTTGGGATCGCTATTCTAGCCCGTTCATTCGACCCCCCAAAAAGCCCAACGTCCTCGTTGGTCACGGCTACGTTGGTCACGGCTGATTTCACTAGGCCACCACTCCAAGTTCGTGCCAATACCATTGATATAACACAAGGGAGAGTCACACCTCAAAAGCTAGCTATTGAAGTGGGAGGACCCTTTGATATATAAACCCCACGCCAATCCCCCATTTGACGGGTTTGGTATCGCTATTTTAGTAGTATCAGATTGTGCATCTTGTTCTCCACATAGGGTAACTTCGATTTTTCCTCAGTCAAAGTCGCAATACACCTTGCATGAAAGCTGTGATAGCACGGAGTCAGTGGTGTGATCAAGCCACCGGCGGAGAAATCGTCCAGGCAGACCGAACAAGTTCTGCCTCCGCCGCCGAGATGTCCCTGTTCGAGCCCACGAAATCGGGAAGTACCCCATCCACAGAGTCATACTCATCCTCCTCATCGTAGGGCGGCAGAGAATCTAGAACCAGAGCACCGCCATCCATGAATCTGGTTGACTCCAAGACAACCTCAAATCCGGCATAAATATGTACCCCGCAAGTCTGTCCCTCGCTCATGAACACTTGAAAAGCGTTCGCGGCCATCAGAAAAGAAATAGCCGCGAATGATTCCAAATCCCGGATGAGGTGCCCGTCAACCACACTGAAGAAGAAAAGAGAAGCATTTCTTAGCAAACCCAAATCAAGCATGGGGTGGAAGAGTATGGGCTGGGCAGTTTAAACATCCCCGACGATAATCAATTGGCCGGCGGCAGCGATTGAGATCCTATAGGTCGCTCAAATTTTGAGAGTTCCGATTCTTGCCTGGTTGGGATTGATAGGCACATTTAAGAAACGGATACAATTTGATAACAATTGCTCTTATTGATTGTGTCATTCCACGTTTAGTCCTGTCTAACAAAACTGAGACGGGAGAATAGATAGAGGACTAAAGTAAACGTGGAATGATACCAAACTAATAAGAACTGCAAACATAATATTTGATAAATATAGACTAAATATGAAATACCCCTAGATATGCAAAACTATTTATAGAGATTACTCTAAAATCAAAGTACAATCACAAACTCATCAATATCCTTCCTTCTGTCCACACATCTTCGTCCGTTTGGAAACATAAAATCTGGTTTTAACATTCCCCTGGGGACACCATTGAGTGATCAACCTGAATGCCCCAATCTACATTGTCATTGTAACAGGAAAAAGCTTATCCAAAAGAGTAAATACACCGCCGCCAAATAGTAGTGCACCACTGCAATATATATATAAAAAATTAACTGGTTTGGATCCATTCTCTCAAATTAACATTGGGGAAAAGTTGTTGATGCATCACAATATTGTTCTGCGCAAACTTACCTGATTGGATTGATCCATGCGGAGAACTTGCGGATTGAGAGCAGACTCTGCAGATATTGGCAAGCAATACAACAATTCAATGCATGTATTAGAACAGAACAATCAGGTATTGTATGGTACAAGTAGAAACTTATAGTAGTCTGGGCTAATTGCTTGGTAGCACTTTGTACCTTTAGTCATTATTACAGCCAAACCTAGTCCCTTAATATCCTTCCTGGTGGGTATTTTCGTCTTTTTAAATAATTGCTTGAAAGACACCAAGTCACCTTGAAAATAACTCAAGGTGAATTTGTGACAGTATTTTGGTGTAAAGTTAAAATTTTAAAAAATGACCATAACTGTTTCCCCCTTGTTCTTTTCTCACAGACACACAACACTTAAGCTCTGATGCAATGTTCTCTATTAAGAAGAGGATTGACTTTCTTATTTCATAGTCGGGTAATTACGACGTATTTATAACTCAATGTCTTCTTCCTCAATAAATGGGGAATATTATGTTAACATCAGCATACACATCTGTTGTCTAACACTCCTAAAAAAATTGTACTACTGTTATGTTTCACTGAATGAAAAGTATCTCAAAATCAATATTACAAAGTACAAACTGTTCAGATAGGACTACTTGTATCGAAACGTGTACCCTTAAAAGCAACAAACATGAAAAAAGGTAAAATCATCTCGCAAATTGTGATGCCCTACCTGCAATGCTCCAGCGAAGGAAGCAGCAAGAAGTAAGGGAGCAACATAGCCGGTTGTATATGTCAGTAGTAAGCTGCCTCCTACAACTGGATCCTATTACAAATTCAGGTGTTAAAATATTCCTGAACCTAGAAACACACAGTAGTAAGTAAAATTAGTAAAAAGACACTTTTTCCACATGTGCTGACCAGAGAAGAGCTGCACAAACTCATGGCAGTCTGATGATCTTCACGCTAGTTCTTGTACAGTTAGTATCCCGTGACTCCGTAATAAAAGGGTGTTTACCTTTACATTTTTTTCCTTTCTAAGCACTCTCTTTTCTTTTCATTTTACTTCTACGCAGAGGCGGACCCACATTGACTCCTACGGGGTCCCGGGACCCCACGGACCTCCACGTAGGATTTTATATGTATTAGGTACCCTAATAGACTAGTCTATATACACAAAAAGCCTGTCGGTAACCACTACACGGAATGGTGAAGCGGAAGCGCGGCCAAAATTTTGGAAGGGAGTTCCAGCGTTCGACGCTGCACTCCTTTCATTTTGTTTTTTTATGAAACTCAATTTTATTCCTCAAGTATTTTAAAAGAACATTTTTAATTTAATGCAATATATTTTATTCAAATTTTTGAGGTAGTGTTTTTTTTGTATTAAAACGCATTAGTGCATTATGCTTTCAATTTAAAGATCTCGTTTGGTACACGGAATTCAAACGATAGAATTGGAATTGGAGATAGCAACTCCAATTCTACTGTTTGGCAGCACAAAAATATGTAGATTTGGAAATGATATTGCCAAAAATAAATTTAAATTGGAAAATTCAATTCTATCCAAATCAATTCTACAAAATTTTAACTTTCAATTTAATTCTAATTCTGTCAATTCTGTGTACCAAACGAACCCTAAATATTAAATAATTATTAAAATTCTTTCAATTTGACCACCAAACTATCCAAATGCACGTGATAAGGTGTTATTTGAATTTCTTTAGTTTATTTCTTTTAGGAGTGGTTTCAAAATTTAGTGGAGGTTGAAAATGAAATGAGAACCTCCAATCTACTAAAATCACTTCTATCCTCATACTTTGATAATATACAAGAAATACAATGTTGATCTCATTTCCCATTGTTACATGAAAACCTAAAAAATGTATTTCGAAGTTTTAATTTATTTTGAATATAAAACAATAAAATTTCAAACTTGTACTCTTTCTGGTTATTCACAAAATTGTGGGTATAGAATATATTGATGCATGTAGAGAGTTTACAATTTTTCTTGGTCTTTTTACAAGTATCTTTTTCCTAAACAAATCTAATTTTTATTATATTTGTATTCTTTTTACAATTTACTTCCATTCTTGATAAAGAAAGATTATGAATATGTCTAAATCTTTTGTTTTAAATTGAGGCTTTTGACAAAAAAACATCATATCCAATTAGTAAATTTTGTCTTGAAAAAATTGTCAGATGTAGAAGTTATAACTTTGAAAAATCTATTTGAGAATCATATTTTGAATGTTCATTTCAATAATATGTTTTTTGGTTTATTTTTTTTATAGTGTGTAAATAGTTACGTAGTATAAATATATGTTTACAATTTAAAAAATGGGACCCCATGGTTTCCGATTCATGGATCCGCCTCTGCTTCTACGCTATGTTTGGTACAAGGAAACGAAAAGAAAATGATGGGGAAAATCATTGTTATTATTTGGTTACAGAAGAAAAGAAAAGAAAAGTGGAAGGAAAATAAAAAGAGAGGACAAAATAAACTAAGAAGAGGGAAAACTAAATTCCTTCCATTTTGGTGTGGGAAAGGAGAGAAAGCTTTTTTCTTTTCCTTTTCAATTCCTTGAACAGTTGAGCCAAACATAGTGTTAGGGACAGTATGGCATTGGGGATGAAAAGTGTGAGAAAAAGGGCAACGAGCATAATACACAACAAAAATACATAAATAACTAAGCCAGAAAAAAATGTACCTTGGATGCAGCAACATATCCAAGTAGGGTTGCCAGTACAGGCGTACTACAAGGAGATGCAGCTAAGGCAAATGTAAGGCCGGCCAAATACGCTTGCACGCCTGAAAGATTAAATATTTAAAAGGTTAAGGTTTTTCAAGTTTACAGTTTTAACATGAAGCAGGGATAAGCACATGAAGATCCAACTTTATAATTTTAGCTTAGAGAGAAAAGTACTTGAAGGAAAAAGGGCAGCAGCCACACTTGGATCAAAATTATTGAAAAATGAAGGAAGCTGCAACTCTATTACCTGCAGCATACACAGAAAGGTCCCTCAAGTATATAAACAGAATTCGAGACTGATGCAGAGACATTAATACTAGTAATTAGTAGTATGAGAGTTAGTTTCCTATTAATAGTAGCAACAAGTCTTACTGTCAACTGTTATTAGTAGTTTGGTAGTAATTCCATCAACAACAACCCAGTATAATCCCAAAAAAGTAGGGTTTGAGGAGGGTGGGTATACGGGTGCTTTGCCCCTACTTGAAAGTAGAGAGGCTGTTTCCAAGAGAGCCCCAAATCGGGCAAAACATAAAGCACGAAAGAAAGAGCAAGTAAAGAGTAGATAAACAGAACACAAGAGACAAAACGAGTATAAAAAAAAAGAAGCAAAAGTCACAAAGCAAGGAAAGCACACAACTGTAAGACCAAAAGGCTAACTATCTTAAACCAAAAGCGCTAGATAGACTAGCACAGAGTCCCAGAGAGCTAGCCAACTACCCTAGCCCTAGGTCTCCAGACCTTGCTATCTAAGGTCATATCCAACTAGTATTTTATTATAGGCCCTTGATGCATTGCAGCATTTACGATCCAAAATTTCATTGCAAGCAAGAAGCAAAGAAAGCTTAATGTGTCCTTTTCATTTAGTCCATTATTTACCCGAACCTAAGGTATTGAGAAAGTTAATGTGCCACTGTAAAGTATTGAATACTATTCAGTGATATTGAGGTTCTCATGGCTTCTATTCCATATTATCAGTGAGATCCTTAATGAGAGAAAGGGAAAGAAAAAGTTTAATTTTAACTTCCATCATGAATTAACACTAACCGGTTTCAATTGTTTGTTATAAGATCGCTCGTTACCCAATCCTTGTGGCAATTATGTTCAAATGCTACCCACTTTGATGGCTGAGGATGCTGAAACTGACAAGCAAATAGCGAACGAAGTCATTCCATCACTGACACTAGCACAAACTGCTGCCAAGTTTGAAGTTTCTGTGTCAGGCAACCTTAAGGCATAAGTGACAGCCCTGAAGACGCAGACCAGAGGCCATTCTGGGAAGACGGAAATGGAGAGTGCGGATGATTCTGACCATGAAACTGATCAAAACCACAGACAATGCCACATATCCAAAGTTGAGTTCCCTAAATTCAGCGGTGGAGATCAAACAGGGATGGGTGCAGAAGGCTGAAATGCACTTTTGTACTACTGATCATCAGTACAAGACAAGGTTGAAATAGCAGCAATGCATCTGGAGAGCGACACTTTTGACTAGTTTTCCTGGACCAATGCCAAAAGCATGCTCTTGTACCGGGAGGAATTCATCAAATTCACTCATGAGCATTACGGACCAACAGAATACTTAAACCCAGGTGAACAACTAGTCACCTAGTCATCATCAAACAAACAGGTTCTGTGCAGGACTACCATCAAGAATGAGCAAGGGTCACTAGAATCCTAAATTGGCCTGACCATTGGCCTCTTAGAGTCTTAGCTGTATCCATGGCCAGTTTGAGAGAAGATTTGATGTCGGAGGTCAGAATTCACAAGTCCAAATCTGTGTTCACTGTTCAGGGCTTCTAGGCTTGCGTTCAAGTTTGAGAAACGGATTATGCCTCTTCGTTTTAAGACAAATCAGATAGGTTTGGGTCAGAAGGTGTGACCATTACTTTGAATTTATTAAGGTACCTTCCTCCAATGAAAATGAAGCTAGTGTTACTCTTTGTAAAAGAAAAATTTGACAACTGGCTAGAGTGCTATCTGAGAGGTAATGGTGGAATGGTAACCTGGGATAAATTCGCTGTGGATGTTTGTCAGAGGTAATCTAGCTTCAAGGGTATCTTTCTTGAGGTTGAATTAATGGAGCTTAAACAGGTGGGATAAGTGGAAAACCACACTGACCATTTCAAGAAATGACTAAAATGAGAGCAATAATGTTGCTTGAAAGCCCTGCTCTTACTGAGCCATACTTTGTCAAAATCTATATCAGTACCC